CCTGCAACCCAGGTACATGCCCTTGACCGGGAGTCCACCCCTCGACCCCTCAGTGCTCAGCCGACACTCTAACCACTGAGCCACACCAGCCAGGACCAAGACATTTTTTAGGTGAGAACAGACAGTTCAGCTCTTCAGACAGTGCACATTCAACGGGAAAGATAGCTCAGGGTCACCACGTAGGTTACGTAAGCGTGTATGGGTTTGTTTTTTGACCACAAATAAAGTTAGTTTCTCCCAGAGGCCCCCAGAACCCCCCTCACAGTAGCCATGGGCATCTGGGGTGCAGGGCTGATGTCCACTGTCAGTGTCACCGCCTCTGGGACCCATGCGCTTGGTTCTCAGCCTGATATTGGGGTGGGGTGGGGAACACAGTCTAGGGGGACAGTGTACGTTTTGGGAACCCTTCATTGGATGCTGGAACTAGGTTAGAACCTGAGAGGCGTCTAATTAACAAGCCACATTGCAGCCCTGTCCCTGAACCACTGTCATCAGAAGTAAAGCCACGTCTGAAGCACGACTTCTCGTGTGTTGCGGGGACTGGCGTGCACGGAAACTCCCAGAATGCAGTTTGCTCTGCTTTCTCCCTGGATGTGGTGGCTTCCCACACACGTCACTCAGAGCGTCTGGGCCTGGTGGCGCGTCTGTAGGCGGCGGCTGCTGTCCTTTGTGCAGGGCCAGGCGGCAGTGGCATTTGTTTGGGGTGGTGAGCGTACATGTGTGTGCATGCGTGTGCACATGTGCACACACCCACACACGTGTCAGCATGTCCATGTGTGTGCATGTGTATGAGTGTGCGTGTAAACACACGTGCAAGTATATACTCATGCACGTGTGTTCATACGTGCACATTTGTGTGCATGCATGTGTCCCTGTAAGATATTTTTCGAGACAAGCTGCTTCCCCTGCATTAAAATAATGGCCTCATTAATTTTAATATTTGCTCGGCCGTGCATCCAGGTGATTTGGAGGATGTGTCACGAGGGAAACGTTAACAGGTTAGGTGCCAGTTTTCCATGCAGGGGAGGGAGGCTGCTAATAGGACCTGAAGAGCTTTGTCTTAACCCCAACACCGGGGACCAGCCCTGCGTCCGATTCCTCTCGCAACCTCTGGACAGACTCCCCCAACTGATTGAGATTCCACTCGCACCCTCACTCCGCTCCCACCCACGTAACTGTCAACTGCCCTTATCATCACTGATTATGCAAAACTGAGTTTTTTTGAAGCGTGGAGAAGTAATTTCATATGCAAACAGTTAAAACTCTCCCGAGCATTCCCATTACGTACGTGTTGATAAATTCACTTGTGATGAGCGACAGCGTGAGGTTTTGGGGTTGGACCGGTCGACCCGTGGAAGGCAATGATGACAATGACAAGCTAAATGCCAGAAGTGTCCCCGACGCGCCTGGGGAGGAGCGTGCAGAACGTGTCTCCCGACGTCTCTCAGTGAGGAACGAAACGCGATTGTGTGCAAGGACGAGCGGAGATCGCACGGTGACTGGAGGGGGATTTCTCTTCTCTCGGACGATGCTACTTACAAATGCCGCTTGCTTTTTAAAAAAAATGTTTTTATTGATCTCAGAGAGGAAGGGAGAGGGAGAGAGAGAAACACCAATGACGAGAGTCATTGATCGGCTGCCTCCTGCACGCCCCCGACGGGGGATCGAGCCTGCAGCCCGGGCCTGTGCCCTGACCGGGAATCGAACCCTGACCTCCTGGTTCGTGGGTGGACGCTCAACCACTGAGCCACACTGGCCGGGCTGCCACTTGCTGTTTTTCTGTGGAAGTATAAGGACCTTTTAAACCTTAACTGTTCGAGTCCCAGGAATTCCTGGCACTCAAGTCAAGCCGTGGTCGTAAGTCCCTCATTTCCCCGCTATCCCCATTCCTCCCCGTTTCCTACGAGGCCCCACAGGCCGGGCTGAGAACAGAATTCCTGGCTCTGGGTCCGCGGGTCCTCAAGGTGCCGTCTCCTCCTCGCCCCTGGGGTCAGAACCACATGGTCCACGTCCCAGCGCCTTGGGACCCAGTGGGAGGGGGTGTCCATTCTAGACCCACCCCGGGAGCCCTGGGCCCAACCGGGGGACACGGGTTGGTGGAGCTCGGGCACAGCTTGTCTGGAGCCCGAGAGGAGTCCATGGCCCCACACGGTAAGAGGAACACCTGAAGGTGGGGTCCTGGAGACGCACCCAGAAATGTCCCCAGCATGTGCCAGGGCGGAAAAGGGGACAACGGGCCAGGCCATGTCCCCACTCAAGGACAGCAGACACATAGCAAAGACAGGAGAAGTGGGGAGGCACCGGCTCTACGGGGAGAAGCTGAAGCTTTGGGGGTCCGGTGTTGTTCAGCTGGGGTGGGGGTCTGTCTGCATTCGTTCTGCTCTGCAAGTCCAGGTTGCCCCAAAGCCCAGGGGTTCCCGGTGCCCATGCTCCTGCTCCCAGGGGAGGATGCTGCTGAAATCGCGAAGCCTCCGCCCCGGGGCAGCCTCCCGGGTGTAAGCTGTGATGGAGGCCGGGGAGCAACGGCCTCTGGGCGGCTCATCAGCAGGGCCCACCTACAACGCCCCGTGTATGTCATGAAAACCTCCACGCAAAACCCCAAAGCAGCCCTGGCTGGTGCGGCTCCGTTGGTTGGGGCTTGTCCCAGGCACCGAGAGGGCACTGGTTCGAGTGCCGGGCAGGGCACACGCCCGGGTTGCAGGCCTCACCCCCAGCAGGGGCCGTGCAGGAGGCAGCTGATCGGTGTTTCTCTCTCCCTCTCCCCTCCTCTCTCTGAAAATCAATAAAAATATTTTTTAAAAAGTACCATCTGTCCAGCGTCCCTCCGTATCCATGGTGGGAGGGGCTCTACCTGACGCAGGTTTATCCCGAGCAGCTTTACCTCTGTGGCTCGTGCCCCCAGGGACGTCAGTGTCACCTGCACCAGTGACCACGTGGGAAGCAGAGCTTCGTGGCTGCTCCGGCAGGACCGTGGCAGGAAGCTACTTGGGGCGGGAGGGTCTCAGAGGCACTGAGCCAGCGAGTGTAACTGGGGTTGGGGAACGACCACCAGGGTTTTGACGGACAACCGGCCCCCAAATTCCTGGGCACTGTTCAGGAATTACTAAGTTTTTGGATAAGTCTGCTCCACTGACCCTCGTCTGCCTCTAGCAGCTGGAAAAAGTCGAGTGGTGGCCCCCCGGCCCCTGGTCAGGGCGCAAATGTCCCCAGCGTGCTCTCCTGTGAGCTGGAGGCGTGTCGGTGGCCCGTCCCCTGGCTCCCTGGGCCGGCCCTGTTCTGGTGGGACGACCGAGGGAGGAAAGACCCCTGCCCAGGCCCCCGGACACTCGGACACGGGATGTTTCCGCAGCCGGAAGCCCAGCCCAGGACGCAGACGGGTGGGAGGAGCCGCGCTCTCATCCCCAAATGAAGACCATTCAGATGTGAAATTGGAACTTTAATCTGGCAGAATTAAATATATTTATATACCTCACACCGCAGGGTTTCCTTTGCAACATAAGAGGTTAGAAATTACAAGCTGGTATATGCTTCCTATATTCAGATAAATTAGCTTCTATTAATTATTTAGATTTGCAGATAAAGAGAAACAGCTTTGGGGAAATGACAGGGATTTTACAGCACACAGGATGTCGTTTAAGACACAGACAGTGTTTTGGCATCTTTCCCCCCTTCAGCAGGTCACCTTCCTCAGCCTGCCCGCTTTGGGGGTGTCGCATCTATTCAGCGTGGAGAGAAGGGTGCGCAGGGGGGAGAGGGGCCAGCGCTGTCCCTTTGGGCCCAACCCCAAATGACACCCGCAGCGCACGGAGCCCCCTTCTTAGGCGGGATCTTTCTGAGTTTAATGAGACAAATTCTTCTCTTTCCAGGGTGTGGGGTGGTCAGTCTGACGCTCGCAGGTCATTTTGACAAATCGGAACCACCTCTAGCTGCTCGTGTCCACGTGACGTCAGACGGGTGGCCGACCTGAGTGACCAGGTCTGACGCCCCGGGAGGAGGCCCGGGGCCGTCTCTGCATTCCCACTTCTCCCCCAGTTGCTATGACCCCACTTAGCTGAAGAAAAATCATGGGCGTCCCTGCGTTTCCCTTTCCTAGGAGTGGGTGAAGCACCCGTGGTCTTCTCGGGATGCCAGCAGGGCCCAGGAGGCCTGAGACGGGCCACAGGCACATGTCGGGAACGTGAGCTCTCGGGGAGCCTCGCAGAGCGTGCCACGCCCGGACTGGTTCCCCTGATTTCTGTTTTCCTGCAGGAAAACTTTCATCTGTTTCTACAACGTGCAAATCCGCTTCTACAGTTAAAAATCTGTCCCAAGGTTGGGGCTCACCTGCAACCTCGCCAAGGTGACCTCTCGCCATCGCCTGAGGTGGCTGGCCACCCCCCCAGGGTGGGAAAGCATGTGCCCCCCCAGGATGCCCATCCTGGGGTGTGTGTGGAGGGTGCTGGGCGGTGAGCAGTGCTTGGGGGAGGGTGTCAGCAGCCCCCATAGGAGCAGAATGGAGGTGCTGCCACGATTTCATTATTGGTCCCAAAGCTGCTTCTGTCCATCTGACTCCCAGCTAAGCCGGTGGTTTCTCCCGGGGACGAGTCGTCCTAAGACAAATGGCAAATGTGTTTCTACGCCTGGCGGCCTCCCCTGGGCCCCTCCCCGTGGCTGATCCGACCCCAGGGAGTTTCAGGTCACAGGCCGACTCCCAGGGCCACATGGATGCGTGAGCCACGCAGTCGTAACACAATAGTGTTGGCAGTTGAGAATGTGAGTTGAGCTTTAAGGAAAAACTGAATTCTTTTTAAGACAGTGAAAATGGATGGACTGGTCGCCCCCCCGGAACTGGACATTCCCATAACCCTCTCATTATTATTTGATTGAGCAAAAATACACATTTTAACTGCTAAGCTGTAGTGACTATGGGGGTTTCGGGACCTATTACTAAGCAGTTACACTGAAGACACGTAATCGGTATCATGTCTCCCCACGAGGTTCGAGGCCGCCCGGGGCTCCGCTCACTGGGGGAGGGCCTTGAGGATGGCATTCACCTCCTCGGCCACCGCCGTCAGCGCAAACTCAAACTGCTCCTGCGGGGACAAGAGAGGGAGGCGTGAGTGACGTGGGCAGGGGGAAATGTTTTTCTGTTTTTTTTTAGGTTTTTTTTTTTCAAATCCTCACCAAGGGTACTTTTTCCACTGCTTTTCAGAAAGAGTGGAAGGGGGGAGAGAGAGAAACATCCACGTGAGACAGACACATGGACTGGTTGCCTCCCGCGTGCTCCCCAACTGGGGCCGGGGATGGAGCCTGCAACTGAGGTGCCCTTTGCAGGAATCAAACCCGGGACCCTTCAGTCCACAGGCCGATGCTCTAACCACTGAGCTACACCAGCCAAGATCATCACTTGAAGTTTTCTTTCCCATTGCTTTTCAGAGAGAGTGGAAGGGAGAGAGAGACACACACACATTGACTGGTTGCCTCCTGCAAGCACCGNCCATTGCTTTTCAGAGAGAGTGGAAGGGAGAGAGAGACACACACACATCGACTGGTTGCCTCCTGCAAGCACCCNACACACACATTGACTGGTTGCCTCCTGCAAGCACCGTGACCGGGGCCGGGGACGGAACCTGCAACCCAGGTACGTGCCCTTGGCTGGAATCGAACCCAGGGCCCTTCAGTGTGCAGGCCAACGCTCTAACCACTGAGCACACCAGCTTAGGGTGGCAGAAGGACATTGTTCAGAAAAGGACAGGCGGGGCGGGGGGATTTCTGTGGACAGGAGAGGACCCTGCCACTCCTGGGGTTTCTGGTGGTGTTACGCCTCACGTCTGGCACAGAGAAGCTGCCGGCAGGGCAGGGAGCAGCGGGACGCCGGCGAGACGGGCCGTGCCGCACAGTTCCCGGGGTGGGGGAGACAGCCCCAGGGGGCCCGGCTCGTCCTACCCGTCCCAGGATAGGGGCAGTACCTTTGTCTGGACCATGCCTGGCCTCTGGTCCCTCAAGTGCTCCAGGGTGGCAGCGATATCGATCTCTTTAGCGCCTGCAAGAAACAAATGGGGCCGAATTCAGACACAAGACAATCCCCGAGCTGCCTCTCTCCTGTGCCATCGGGTCCCCTTCGGGCTAAGAGGCCACTTTAAGGTGCTGGTGCTGGTGCTGGTCCCCCAGCAGGCCCCACATTCACACAGGAAGGCAAGGCCCGGGCTTCTGTACCTGGGAATCCGGGAACCTGGGCTGAGCAATGGTATCTGAAGCCTCTGTCGAAACTTACCAACGGCAGCCCATCGCCACCAGGTGATAAATTCGTGTTCTGAGGCATTTTAAAGAGTATTTTAAATCCCAGAAAGTAGCACAGGGGCTTCAATTTTGATGGCATAGGATTTTTTTTTAACTAGAGAAATGAAAAATTAGCACCTCCATTTTAGCACTGACATTTACTTACTTATTTAATTTTTGACCCTCACCTGAGGATACTTTTCCACTGATTATAGAGAGAGTGGAAAGGAGGGGGAGGGAGAGGAACATGGATGTGGGAGAGACACATGGTCGGTTGCCTCCCGCACTCACCCAACCGGGGCTGGGGATCGAACCTGCAGCCCAGGTACGTGCCCTTGACCGGGAACCGAACCCAGGACCCTTTGGTGTGCGGGCCGACGCTCGAACCACTGAGCACCGCTGGCTGGGGCTCGGGAGCTGATTTTTACATTTTCATTCTTTTCAGTTGCCCCGTGTGGTAGTGGCTACAGCCCTGAGCAGGGCAGCTCTGGAGGAGTGTTGGGTGTAAACGCCGAGCCACACGGCAGTAAGGGGGGCGTTCTGACCCCGTTACGGACAGGAGACGGTGAGTCGCGAGGTACCGGCGCAGTGACGGGCGGTGCTGCTGGGCGAGTCTGCTCTGTAATGTCTCAGTCCGCAAAGCTGGTCCCCATCCGACACTTTGATCTGCCGTTAAAAGTTAACGCCTGGCCCTGGCCAGTGTGGCTCAGTGGTTAGAGCATCGGCGGGAGCACCGAAGGGTCACGGGTTTGATTTTCGGTCAAGGGCACGTACCTGGGTTGCAGGTTTGACCCGGATCTGGGTCAAACAACAAAAAAAAAGTAAAACGTGGAATTAGTATACAGCCCAGTAATTCCACGGCTGGGTGGACCCCGAAAGAAACGCAAGCGGAAACCTAGGGAGGTTTGCTCAGCCACGCTCACCGCAGCCAAAAGGCGGAAGCCACCCAGGTGTCCATGACAGGTGAGGGGGCAACATCGGTCCCTCCACACAACGGAATCTGACCTTCCTTAAAGAGGGCCCGTCCGTGGCCCTTCCGGCAGCACGGACGGGCCTTGAGGACATTAGGCTGAGTGAAATAAGCCAGGCCCCTAGGACGAGTCCTGCATGGTCCACTTGCACGAGGGAGCTACAGTCGTCAGACTTATTAGCACGTCTTATACAGGAGATGCTCGGGCCGTGGGGCCGTGGGGCCGGGCCGGGGCAGAGCAGGTCCGATCACTGAGGTGGGACCGGGGAGCAGGACAGAGGGCCAGGCCGCCCACACCTGCTCACATCCCCAGGGCAGCACCACCTCCAGCAACCTGAGCTTAAAAGGCAACTCCGGGCACACCTGCTGGGCGATTCACAGGTGATTCACACCCTGAAGTGAAATCACCGTCCCTGGGCCCTGCCAACAAAAGAAACGCCTCCCCAGGCGCACTTTGGCTTCTGGTACCAATGGCGGCGGTGGGGTGGGGTGGGTGGCCCTGGGTGCGCGGAGGGCAGTGCCGCCGGGGGTGACCCACAAACGTGATATTTGGGAAGCTCCACCATCCATTCCTTAAAAAACCCCAAACTGATGAAACAACAAAGGAAAACTCTGCATAAAGAGATGCCACTGACAAAAACCTAAAAAGCGCAACCTTGGAAACCTCCCTGCTGCAGAGAGATTACTGCTTCACGTAGCTAAGTCTTTCCATGAGAGAGGAGCACGCAACCCAAACACTAATCCTGATGCAAAATATTAATGACGAGCCAGAAGCGTGTTTGCAGCCATGAAAAAAACGTGCTGAAGACGCTCCCAGGTTGGTGCCGATCTCCCTGCCACCAGCCCCGTGCGACTGACCAGACTGGACCGTGAGCCTATTTCCCCCTCATCGCCCACTTGCTAATAAACTAGACTTTTTTTCTCAAAGGCCCTAAAGGAGCTCGAGGCCTTAATCCCCGGGGGCTGTGTGAATGAGGGGCCGCCTGCTGGCCCAGCTGCACACTCTGAACGCTGGACCAGGGCCCTGAGCTGGGCTGGGTGCAGGAAGGCTTTGCAAAGACATTCTTTGGCCCGCACGCAATTCATTCCTTTTCAGAAAAGGAAATGGGAAGAAAGGGTTCGTGTCCGGGCGTTGGGCCTTTGATCACTGGATGAACGTGGGGTCCTCGGAGGGCCCCCAGCTTCTCAGGCCAGACAAAGGCGCCGGGCCGCAGTGGCCAGCCGAGCCTGGGCCAGAACAAAACCCCTGGCGGCAGCTCAGTGTGGCGGCCTGGGAAAGGCCCCCTCTCCTCGGAGGGGCCGCTCTGCCCTTTGATCTCTCCTGAGACCGGGGCTGCCCGGGTCAGGGGATTTGACACTGCAGGCCCCGGGCTGAGGGGAGCAGGTCAAGAACAGAATGGGGGTGAGGGACCTCAGGAGAGGCCCGGGGACTGTCCTCTCAGGCCAGTTCTGCATGGCTGGGCTGGCACTGTGCATGCAGTCCACACGTGCAGGGGAATCTGACAGTGCAGGGACCTGGGCCAGCACCGTGAGGACAATGGTCAGCCGCCCTGAGGGTGCTTCTCTGTGCAGCAGACCTGTGCCCCTAAAATACAGGCTCTATCCCACCCACTGGGTAAACGCCAGGGCAGACCCACAAATACTGAGATGCTGCCAGCCGAGTCCCACTGTGGGCACCTTCCCTCAGACGTGGCCGTGTGCCCAGCAGGTTCCCATGTCCCCTGACAAACAGGCAGCATCTCCAACAGACCAGCTGACTGTCTTTGGAAGTAGCTGGTTTAACAGAAGGCAAATACTTGTGCGAGGCGACGGAGCAGGGAGGGTGGATGGTAAGGGAAGAAATACGATTTCCACTGAGAGCTGAGTCCCAGTTCTGCAAATTCCCGATGAAAAGATGTGTGTGATGAGATTTGATGGCATCAGTGGACAGGGAACAACCAACCTTCCACTAAAAATGTTGGATTTTTTATGATCTAAAATAAAAAAATCTGGTAAAAGCAGGATCAGAGCTTATGCATCTGTGCTGGTTGTTTCTTTGTTTGCTGGTCGCCAGCACTAAGCTCACTCAGGGCTCAAAGTAAACCTACCATTCCCCCCAGTGGGAGGGCAGAGCTCTGGGCAGAGGTCGCAGGGCACTGGGCAACTACTCAAGCTCTCCCGTCTTACGTGGAAAATGGGCTATGATTTCATCTTCATGCATCTGTATCTTTGGGCTAAAGATTTTTTTTTTTTTAAAGCAGAAAAAAATGGAGTAAGGAAAATGCCTATTTTAGAGTTGCTGGTGCTCCTGTGAAAATGTGTAGAAACTCATTTCTGTCATTAGAATCTGGGCAAAAGACAATGTTCTGGGAGGCGGGAGGCTCAACAGAACATACATGTGCATGTGTGAGTGCATGTGTGCGTGTGTGCACGTGTTGAGAAAGAATGGTTTATTCACAGGCAAAAAGACACCATAGTGTGTCACCATCTCAGTGTTTTTTTCCCAAGTTGCCTGGGATGCTGACCGTGTCATGACAGTGTCTTCCAGATACGTTTGGGAAATGCTGGGTCAGAGAATCTAGACAAGCCTCCCTCCCCCACAGGACCCGTGAGTCTCTGTGCAAAGGCACGGGGTCATCTGAGAGGCGTGCCCAGGAGTCCCCTTTCCCACTGGTACCATGAATCTGGTCCCTAAGGAGACACCCACTGTTTGTCCAGGGCACACTGGGAGAGACGCAGGGCACATGCCCTCGCTGAGAAGGAAACAGGTATGCAAAGCTTCATGGGAGATAAGGTGGCTGAGTGGGACAACCTTGCCACCAGGGGTCTTGGGTGACTCTAGTGTTCCTGCAAATACAGTTCATAACAGGGAAGGTTTAGGCAACACACGTTAGGGGTGCTCTGGACTGCTTTAGGGCCGAGAGACCCAAGGCCTCCTGTCTGTGGTCCCGACATCGCACAGTGTGTCAGGCGAGTGCTTCTCCAGCGGCCACTGTGCGCCAAGCCCGGCGCTCACACTACGGACGCCGGGAACAAAGGAGGGAGCTCAGGAACCGGCGTGCTTGCTGCAAACAGCTTTCACACCACTCAGAACAGGGACAACGGCTAATTTCTCCGAGGCCTCTGTGAGCACGGCTCCAGGTTGCCATAGCAACGCCATCCCGGGCTCCGCGCACAACAAAGCGGCAGCTCGCTCGTGCCTCACCTTTGGCCATCCTGTTGAGAACCATGTCGATCAGGATGTAGGTGCCGCTCCTGCCTGCGCCGTCGCTGTCAACAGAAGGAGAGAGGTGAGAACAGGCCGGCCTCGGTCACCCCACGCAGCCGGCCAAGGCAGCGCACTTCCTCTGTGTCTCGGGGCTCGTGGGGGAGCGCGGCTGTGGGTGAGAGAAAGGGGAAACGGGGGGAATCACGGGTGGGAGTGGGGAGGAGGAGGAGGAGGAAGAGGAAGTGGAGGAGGAAGAGGAGGAGGAAGAGGAACTGAAAGAGGGGGAGGAAGAGGAAGAGCAGGAAGAGGAGGAGGAAGAGGAGGAAGTGGAGGAGAAAAAGTAGAGGAAGAGGAAGTGGAGGAGGAAGAGAAAGTAGAGGAGGAAGAGGAAGTGGAGGAAGTAGAAGAGGAGGAGGAAGTGGAAGAGGAGGAAGAGGAGGAAGAGGAAGTGGAGGAGGGAAGTGGAGGAGGGGGAGGGAGGAAGTGGAGGAGGAAGAGGAGGAGGAACTGAAAGGGGAGGAAGAGGAAGTGGAGGAGGAAGTGAAGGGAGGAAGAGGAAGTGGAGGAGGAAGAGAAATTGGAGGAGGAAGAGGAAGTGGAGGAGGAAGAGGAACTGAAAGGGGAGAAAGAGGAAGTGGAGGAAGTGAAGGGAGGAAGAGGAAGTGGAGGAAGAGGAAGTGGAGGAGGTAAAGGAGGAGGAAGTGGAGGAGGAAGAGGAACTGAAAGGGGAGAAAGAGGAAGTGGAAGAGGAGGAAGTAGAGGAGGAAGTGGAGGAGGAAGAGGAACTGAAAGAGGGGAGGAAAAGAAAGCAGAGGAGGAAGAAGTGGAGGAAGAGGGGGAGGAAGGGGAAGAGGAGGAGGAGGAAGGGACCAGGAAGCCTTGAGCCCGGCAGTGTGGGGCTTGGCCAATGGGCCTGCGCAGGTTTGTCCCTTTCTTCCTCTATCCCCTCTGACCACAGACGTAGATGCTGCCACAGGAGAGTGAACAGGGAGACTTCTGGCTGCGTCGGCGTTGAGGGCGTCCGGTTCGCAGCGTCTGCACCGTGCTCTGTGAGGCCCATAACCTTGTGGCAGGTACGTGGGGCCTGGGCGTCCATATGAGTGGTGGGGGGGGGGCACTACCTACACAGGACCCGCTGCTCTTGGCAGAGGGCAGACATGTCCCTGGTCCCTCCAGCAGCACTTCCTCTCATCTCCTCACCCCCAGCTGCCATCGGACTATCTACCACCTGGGCCAGGTGAACATGTCTGAATGGGGCCTCGACAACAGCACGTGGAGGAAACGAGATTCCCTTTCTGGAGACAGGAAGCCCAGCGTCACCCTTTCCTATAAGACCATTTCTGTCCCCACACGACGTGTCCCCGAGAGGTGTTCCCACCAGTGAGCTGCTTCCAACGGAGGGTTTTACATTTATACTCCTGGTAAGACCAATGGTGACTTCGGGAAAAAATGGATGTTCCCATTGCAAGGCCTGAGGAATTACGTGGCTAAAGGAGAAACCACGTTTTCAGTGTCGGGTTAGAATGGCAGCTGGTGATCCTGAGAGTCGCTGGTGTGCCCGTAGATGTTCTTTTATCATCAAGACTCACTGTGTTTGGCTTTGACATGTTTTCTCAAACAAATGGTTGAAAACGTTGCTGCTGGAGGACTATTGTTCACACTATACTCCCCCACCCCACCTGTACCGCGTGGCTGGGGGTGCGGCAGAGCTGGCCTCTGTCTGATCCTCCTGTGGGACCAGGGGCCAGGGGCCAGGGACTTCTCGTCTATGCAAACTTCTCTTCACACGAGTGTTTCGAGATCTACCACAGAACCTTCCAACTAACTGCTCCCTGTCTCAGGGCACTTGTGGGTAAAAATGGCCTGTTCTAGTCTCTCAAGAAACCAAACCGTCTCTGTTCTCTCCCTCTTCTCATAGACTCACAGAGCCACACAGACACAGACAGAAACACAGACACAGACTCACAAACAGACATACATAGAGACATACAGACACACACACACAGAGACACAGGTATGCACAGAGACACACACACAGACACACACTTCTTGACTGAGTCGACAGGCTTGGTGTTTGGCGTTTGGAGACATGTCTCCCAGGTAGAAAGGAAACTACCAGCCACTCTAGGGAATGGATGTGGTTCTTCACCAAGGCAGGTGCTCTCAGGCCTCACGGGGGGTCTGCTGTGCGTGGCTGTTCTCACTGGCCTGAATGTGGCCACCATGAGGGCACGAGCCTTGTATTTCCACCCAAAGGCCCAGACGCACACAGTGAGCAGAAGCGGTCACTCCTCGTATAATCACAGGTCCTGTCCTGCTCACAACCGGACCGAGTGTTTCTCACCATCTGCGCCGGGTCCCAACCTTGGCAGAGACAGCTCAACAGATTGAAAATACCGCCTCCCAGTGTCTGTGCGGTGGCTCCACGGGGGCTTAAGAAAAACCAGGGTGGCAGACACGAGCATGTGGAGACAGATTGGAGTACCCCGCACAGCGGCTTGCCAGAAAGAACATGGGCCACGTGCAGGTGCCACGGGTACCGTGAGGTAAATACAGGACTTTGTTTAGTTAAGTGGCTGGAAATTTCAGTTTATATCTTTGGTCTCCTTTATAAGCACTGGTTTGGTGTGATTATGAAGCCACTAGGAAGGTCGACTTCTGTCTTTAATTGCATTGTTTTTGGAGGTAGCGAACTCTCGTTAACCCACGTGAAAAGTTGTACTTGCCTGCAGTGGACAATTATTGGACAAGAGCGGCCTTTGTAGCACTTGTTTACTTTTCTGAAATAAAAAGAGACACAGAAATTACGGTTACGCACGACAACATCTCTGCCGTGTTATCCAAAACCACCAATAAACCAAAGCAAATACACCGTAGCTTGGACATCCTTTGGTGACAGCCTGTTTTGACAAAGAAAATCAAGATTACACACACATTTTCAGAGGTGTCTCTTTCTTTTCAATATTCAGTTGTTAAGCACAACTTTAAAAACAATTCTTGCACTTTCACAATTTCTCTTTTCCCTTCACAGGTGTAAACTCAAGGCCTTAGGTCAACGGGCCATCAACTCGCCTCCAGGCCCCTTTCTCTTGTTCCTACAGTTAATTTTACTTTTTTTTGGTTGTGATATGAGTGTCCAGATTCTTTACTGAATTTTTTGAGTTTTACAGTATATGCTCATAGTTTCTTACAATCTAGACATCATGTTGGAATGCAATATTATTATTTTCTCTCCCAACAGTACCTTACGGAGATACTTTCTGATATGTGGGTTTTCAGAGGTTATCTAAATACGAGACCTCAATTGTATTCAGGACAAGTCTTCCCGTTTTTATAAACTTGGGGATGTTCAGAAACAACTTCACTGTGCAGATTTTAGGTCAAAAGTTGTGAAAATCAACCATAAGCATCGATTAAGATTTTGTAACTACATCAAAACAGAGGCTCATCTGAAATTCACTGTACAAACTCCACAGTCTATGTCGGTGAAACAAGTCAACCTGTGCAAGAATCACATGAGAATTCTCAGCAAAATGGTTCTGAATTCAGAAGAGGCCGCTCTGGCTATTGGAAGGAAAGGGGTGAGGGGGTGTCTGAAATGTGCCTCAGGAGACGGGAGGCCAAAGGGGAAAAAGGACAACAGGCCAGGATCTTGTCCCTCGGCCCAGAAACGGGAAAGTATCACGTTTCTTTGCAAAGGCTTGTCTGCTCGGTGCGATTGGGTGTCGTCCGTGCACCGAAAGGTCGTCAGTTTGATTCCTGGTCGGGCACTTGCCCTGGTTGCAGGCTCCATCCCCAGTAGGGGGTGTGCAGGAGGCAACAATCAATGTTTCTCTCTCTCTCCCTCTACCTTCCTTTCTCTCTAAAATCAATAAAAAAATTTCAACCGCCTGGCTGCTCAACCACATGACATCGTGCAGCCCGAGCATCAGTGCCTTTTCCTTCTTCTATGGAGTGAGCAGGTGGGGTGTTTCTCAGGTGAGGCCCCGGCCCCTGGACAGACAAGATGTGCCCTGCACAGGCCACATGCCCCGCATAGGCCCCCTCTGGGACCGGGCTGCTCACCTCTGAAGACACGCAGCGTTTAAAGCCTGCAGGCCACCCAAAGGAGGATTAAAAATGAGGAGACTCTGGAATGTGGGTGAACAAGCTGCCCAGTGTCCCCGTGGCCCCGTCCACATGCCTGCAGAGCCCTCCTTGCTTTTGGAGTACACTGCAACCTTATGTCTGGGGGGAACGGTGGGGAAGTCAAGGTGAACCCATTAAAATCCACGGCACGTGTAAGCCGGAGGCCTTAAAGGCTCTTGGCCCTTTGAGAATAAAGCAGGTTGGAAGAAAGATCCATTCACTTCTCCTAAAACCTCCCATTCTTGACTCGGGATGTAAGGGCAACGTGAGCATCACCTCCAACAAAACAGATGCCAGACTATAAGCACATGCGTGTGCGCGCACACATGCAATGTGTGCATGTTTGTGCACACATGTGCTCACATGTGCGCATTTGTGCACACGCGCTCACATGCTCATGTGCATGTTTGTGTACACGTGCATGCTTGCACACATGTGCACAAGTGTGTATGCCTGTGCACACATGCGCCGGTGCATGCTTATGCAGACGCATGTGTGTGTATGCACGTGTGCATTTGTGTACATGTCTATGCACATGCATGTGTATATGCGCACACATGCGCTCTCCATGGTCCTGTGCACATTTGTGCGTGTGCTGGTACATGTGTGCATGTTTATGTACATGCGTTTGTGCATGTGCATGCATACACATGTGTGCATGTTTGTACATGTGCACATATTTGTGCGGGGCTTGTGTGCATGTTTGTGCATTTGTGCTCACGTGTATGTTTATTCACGTGTGTGCATGTTTGTGCACCATGCTCATGTCCATTTGTGCATGTGCATACACACTGTGCTTGTGTGCGTGTGCAGGATCGAGCAGGCTCACTGGTCAGACTAGAGCTAGGGCGGCACTATTTCTACAAGCCTGTCACTTTCAAACAGAAGATTTTACTGGAAATTTCCTGGTTGCTGGCTCTTCCAATGTGACCTGGCTCAGCTGTGCACCTCCACCTTTCTGCTCAGCAGCCCAGCCTCATTTGCAAGGACTAAACTCAACTTTTCCATTTTCACATACTGGCCAGTCACCAGGTCTTGGTCATTCTTTCTGATGGGACCAAGCACAAAACATGAACATTAAAAAAAGGAGTAAACATAACCAGATGCCCTTCCTTAAACTGGTGGTTTCAGAAAACATGGACGTAGGGCATTGTTGGGACACAGTCCCTCACGGCTGGTCAGTATGTCTGGCAAATGCAACAAGAATAGCCTCCCTGGCTGCCACGGCTCAACATGCTGCTCCATCCCTGCCTTGCCCATCCACGCCAGCCCCGGCCCACGCTAAACCTATTTGCAAAGAGCCAGGAGACACCAGGGCAAATGCAAGGTGCTGCTACGGTTTAGGATTTTATTTACAGAGTGCTCGGTTTGTTACAGAGTAAAACACCAACACAAAGAGGCAATGGCATCACACAGTCAACAGAAGCGTTCATCCGGTCGGCCCGAGATGGAGGCGGGTTATTTGTGAGGACGAGCAACGCGCGGCTGTGTCGGTTTACGCTATTAGAACAAACGGTCAGTAAGCAGAGGCCGCGCACACGGAGAGACACAGGAGGGCTTCGCGGAGGAAGAAGGGTTAGTGATACAAACCAACCCTCGGGTCACTGGGCGGCAAGGAGCAGCAAGCAAGGTCAGAGGTCGTTAGAGGCTCAGAAAGGGATCCCCACACTGTCCCCTGCAGTAAAGTCACAGTTTCCAATGATCACTTTTGTGACTATGCAACTGGGCTCATATTACTAGCTGCAACGTCACAAAAATGACACCGGCCACCGCTAATTAGCTGGCAAAAGTAAGGGTTTGTCCAGTTTTAGAGTGAGCAGCGTTAGCGAGCGCCATGGCACACAGGAAGAAGTGAGCGGATCGGAGAGACAGAGAGAGGTTTTCAGAGCCAGGCCCTCGCGTGCGGTGCTAACGGTCCCTGGGCTGAGCAGCTTCTCTTTAAAGGGCAAATGGGCTCCCTCTGGGCTCCAGAGCTATTTAGCGACACATCTTGGTGCCTGACGCGCACACGGGCGGGAGGTGTTCATGGGAAGGTGACACCTCCGTCGTGTGAGAGTGACCAGTGTCCCCAGAAGCAGCCTCGCCTTCCCGAGAGTGAGATCATTCACACCCGTTGTCGGGTTCCTACGGGAACGGGACCTCGCTGACAAGGAGGCCGGCCGGGGACGCTTTCCGTCCTAATGACACTTCAAAACCGGGCCTGGGGGTTCGTGTTCCCTTCAAAGTAACAAAATCCTTCTCGAGTCCGATCTCCTAACGCTAGAGGAAGGGAATTTGGAGAATCCAATCTTTCAGCGTTTCTTCCTGATGGATTCTAAGTGCGGACGGTGGGTTGTGTGTTGTTAATTCCGTATGTGGACATGGATATAGAAATGTGTCCATATGCACATAGGAGCAACCACGGGTGAGCACGAAGACCCAGGGTGATGCGAGCTCCCTTCTCCGTAGCTACATCCACCTGCCAGCAATGTCCAGTGTTTGAAGACCCCCTGGGTAAGATTTCTGGACAGCAGGTCTTTAGACATAAGTCTGTGTTAAGGAAATGCCTGGGACGGCAGGGGGTCAGGAAGGAACGAGGCACAGCCATGGCGTCAGGGTGCGTCCGGGATTCGACGCGTCCCCGCCTCTTCTGGAGAGGACCTGGGAGGGACGGGTCACTCTCCGTGACACCAGATGCATGCCTCCCCTGCAGCTCTTTCACAGGCTATGAGGTCCAAAGAGCTATTCACGGGAGGAAATCCGTTTGTTTTTCAAAGTGGACTCAAAGGCGAGAGAAGCAGTATCATCAGAACCTGAGAATCTGTTAAAACGCGAATCAGGAAATCCGGACGTGTAGCCCGTAGGCTGGGGAGCTGCGCAGACACCGCCCGCCCCTCCGCCCGTGTGAGGCGCTGGGTCACGTGCCTGTGCCCACACCCTCGAACGCCTGCTCCGAACGGTCACCTGACCTCCTCACTAGGCCGGTCCCGGCGGCTGCGTGTAAGAGGTTCTGTAAAACTTAGACTCGGCGGTCGATGCTGCTCAGCCTTACTCTCTGTAGTTAGTGATTTAAATTCTCGTCATCGAATCTGATGCACAAGGAACTTTTGTCTTAAATTTTGCTTTTTTTTTTTTTTTT